TGTGTGTGTGTGGGGATGAGACAGTGGGGGGTATCAATGAGACTCAGAGCCAGGGCCCCCAAACTACGGGAGACCCACCCACCCCGGGTGCAGCGTACGGACCCCAGGGTTGCCCGCGGCAGCTCACCCCGGGGCAGACAAGCCCTGGCGCTCCTGGGCATCGCTGCAGACCCCCAGCCGGTGCCCCTTGAATCACACCTGGCGGGGCTGCTGCTGGACATGCAGGATGGTCCAGTGGTTAGAGCAGGAGCCTGGGACCCGGGGTCACATCCCAGCTCCCCCACAGACTCCCCGACACTTAGGCCAGGTTTTGGAAGGTGTTTCGTTGTTGCTGCACTCAGCACTGCAAGGCCTGACTGTCCCCGGTCTCAGCTGCTCCGTGCCTCGGTTCCCCCATCTGTACAATGGGGATAACAGCACCGCCCTGCCCCCCCAGGGGGAGTGAGGGTCAATACATGAGGCGGTGGGGATGGGGCAACTAGGACCATAGACAGGGCTACCAGAGCCCCCGGGATGGAGCCATGGGGCACGCAGAGGCCTCTTGCCTCGATTACACCCCGTCTCTGAGCTCGCTTCGGCTGCCCAGAAGCCGCGGGATGAGCGGAGGTTGATTTGTTTCCATTCAGTGACCAGAAAATCCAGGGGGGGAATTGTTTCGACTCCACCTGAGAGGGGAACGTGTCTGGTGGTCTCGTCAAAGCAAAACCCCCAAAATAAATCTGTTTGGGGCTGAACAAAACAGGATTTTTTTACTCCAAAATGTTTTTTCGTTTTATTTTGGGTGGGTTTTTACCTTTTTAATTTTTTTTTTAAAGATGAACCTCCCTCCATTTGGGAGCTTCTGCTCCAAACGAGGCGTCCGACCTGAATCTGACCCCCCCTTTTCCATGTTATTCCAACGTGGTGTTTACGCTTTCGGGGCCTGCGGTTTTAACCCAGCCCAGCTCCGTGTGAACACAAACCGGCCTTTCGAAATGAAACGCTGCCGCCGGTTCCCCTTGGGTTTTCTTCCAGCTGAAGGTCGTTGGTGACCCCTCCCTGCATGTCCACCCAGAGCCCCCCAGCTCCCGCCAGGGCCCTGCTCGCGCGGCCGACACATCCCAAGTGTTTCCCGGAATCAGCCCCCGCTGGGAAAGGCTCCGGCTGCTTTCGGGTCCATCTGACTCTGGCGCATTCAGGGGACTGGAGCTGCCAGTCTCGGCTCGTCCCCCCGCCCGCCCCCTCCAGGACAGGGGGAGTGAACGCTGCGGGCAGGTCTGGGAAAGGGGCCGAGACGGGCAACAAGAATATCTGGGGTTGTGAGCCAGCTTCCCTCTGAGGAGAGATTGAAAAGACGGGGGCTGGTCAGCTTGGACAGTCTGGAGCTCCTGTGCCCCGTGGAAAGAATCTTCCGCCATGAATCACGGCGCTGTGGATAAAGACTTCTCTGCACAGAAGGGCTGCACCGGCAAACCCTTCTACCAGCCAACGAGTTCTTGTACCCGGACAGCCGGAAACGTTTGCTGCTAGAGCCGCGTCCACACGGGGAATTTGGCCGGCACAGATCTGTCCCCCACCCCACCCACACTCTGAACTGAGGTACCACCAGGAAACCTTTTCAGGGTAAACTCATCCCAGTGATGTCCCGGGGCTGTAGAACCAATGTGAATGAAATTGTTTTTAAGTTATCCACTGTACCATTGTAACTTCTGTTACTACATTGTGACTTTCATTACACTTGCCATTTTGCTACATTGTAACTTCTGTGCCATATTGTAATTCAAACCCCATTTTAAAACGCTTACTCCATTTTGTAAGGGCTTGCTGCAACCTTCATTTTTGCAACCCCTGCTGTAATTGTATTAGTCTAGTTAAGATGTGTGAGTGAGGGATGTATGAGTGATAGAATCAACCTCCAGCACCAGCCCGTCCTGATGAGATAAAGTTCAAATACCAAGGGCTGAAGAACTAGACAACAGCCCTAACTCAAGCAAGAAGCATCCACCTTAAAAAGAAACAACAGAAGGAAGATCAAAGCCAGGTCCCAGGCTGACAGTCACGCCTGCAATTGACGGGTGATCAAGTCAAACCCAGAGGCGGCCTGACACAGTGAGACCTAGAGACTTTGAATCCAAAACTCCTATAAAAAAGGAAGGGTGAGATGAGAGACTTTGGGTAACTGTCACGGAGTATTGGGGGACTCAGGGCCCTGCACCCCCGGCTTCCTGCGATTCACTGCGACTTTCAGCCAGCCAGTAAAGGAGAAGGTTTATTTGGATGACAGGAGTACAGTCCAAGACAGGTCTTGCAGGCACAGACAACAGGGACCCCCTCAGTTAGGTCCATCTTGGGGTCCCAGGGCATTCCAGCCCACCCCCCTTTGGGGGGTCAGAGCCATCTCTGTCTCCCAGCCATCTCTCCAGCCTGCTTCCAGCACACTGCCTTCAGCGACCCCTCCCACAGCCTTTGTTCAGTTTCCCGGGCTAAGGAGTCACCTGGCCTCCAACCCCTTCCTGGGTTCTCATGTTACACACTCAGGTATGCGCCCTCGGGCAGACTCCCATCCCCCAATGCAGACTATCCCAGCCCCACTCCCCTGTCAGCATTCACAGACCACAGTGAGAACAGGCCCAGTTCGTCACAGTAACGTTCTGCTATCAACATCAAGGAGCATCGGTGCGCGCCCGACAGAGACCTGGCTCCCCCTCGTGCTCAGCTCTCCTGGCCAGTTAGCTGTCACGAGCTACGATCCCAAGCTGAGAACTCAAACTACACGCAGGACTGGTAACTATCCAGCAGCTGCAGAACATTTTGGTGTGTGTGTGACTGTATGTGTATAAGCATTGAGGTATTTGCTAATAGTTACAGATTAATAATAAATGTGGCATCTTTGCCTTGACCCCTAAAACGATCCCGTATAAGTTTGTGGGACAACATTATTGGTGGAGAATGAGAAAGGGGGAGCAAGCATAGAATCCACAGTTATTATAAAACTGGTGTGCACACCGCCAGCTTTAGCAAGCCTGGCACTATAGGAAGAAGAGCGTAAACTTTCAGTTAATTAACCAAACTCTGAAGGATATAGGAGTTTAGGTTTAAATTGGGTTCATGACTGAGCTAAAGAGGAGAACTTAGTGTTTCTCACTGTGATCCGGGGAAGGATTTGTATAATTGGTGTATGAACCCTCAGTGGTAGCAGACCAAGTAATACAGAGGGAGACTTGGTGTCTCTTCCTCTGGCCCAGAAAGGGTTAAGTTGTTCCTTCAGGAGTTCAAAAGGGAAAATTGCTATTTGTAAGTCACTCCTTTAGGAATTGGAGGTTATCGTATTCTGATATTTATCAGCTCGGTTTCCTGTGTTGTACTTGGCTATGGCACACTTGTTAGGGAAAATGTTTAGGAAGACACAGTCTAAAGACATCTTTAGAGAAAAACAGGGAACGCTGTCTTTTGTCCAAGAGCCCACACCCTTTAAACAAGTACTACAGAGGTTTGGACACAGCCCGTGGACAGAAGGGGGGCTGGGAGATGTGTGTACTATTTCAGATTTGGAGGATAGGCTGGCAAGGTATATAATCCTGTACAAGCCTACTCCAACTAAAAGGGATTCAGCAGCAATCTGGCTTTTGTGGGACGCATGCAGGGACTTCTACTCCCGCTTGACATCCTGCCGAGGGGAGACTGCCTCCCTGCATGAAAAACTCACTCATATGGAGAAAGAAGCAGAAAGATGGAAAGTGATAGCGACAGGGGTGCAAAGCCAGTTAGACCCTCTCCGGGAGGCAATCAGGGAGGGCAAACAAAGAGAAAAGAAGTTAGAGGAACAGGTCGGGGAAAAGGAAAAATAGAAAAAGAAAATCAAATATTGCAAGGCATGGTAAAGAGGTTAACCATAGAACGAAGTAAAGCTCTCCCCGCTAATCACAGCCGATGCGAGTCCCTTATCCAGCACCTTAAACAAAGGCTGGGATTCGCAAACCGCCAGATAGCAGCGGTAAGGGCAGGAGAGTGGGACTTTGATCCCCAGAGTGACGTCCCTGACTGGGAAGATGCCCCGAGGGAATCTAGC